ATTAAGGAGGAAGAAGGCGAACAAAAAAAATAACGAGGCAAAAACAATAAGGTGGCGAACAACAAACAATAATAAGGCGAACAAACAATAAGGTGTACAACAAACAATAATAAGAAGGCAAACAACAAACGATACTAACAAGAAAAAGAAGATGAACAATAATAAGGTGAAGAACAAACAATAATACAAACAAACAATAAAAATAAAACTAATATGAAGATTAACAACAAACTATTAATAAGGCAAACACTTAAAGCAAACAAAAAGGCGAAGAACAAAAGAACAAACAAAAAACAATAACAAGAGGAAGACGAAGGCGAACAAACTATAAGGAGAAGGCCGTGAATATCAAATAAGGAAAACAAGGTGAACAACAATATTAATAGGGCGGCAAAGAACAAACAATAATAGTATGAAGAACAAGAATAATAATAATAAGGCAAACAAACAACAAGGCGAAAAATAAAAAAATGAGGCGGCGAACAACAAACCATAAGCAGCAGCAGTAGCAGAAGGCGAACAAACAATAAGATGAACAATAATTCTAAGGCAAAGAAAAAAAACACTAAGAACAACAAACAATAGGAATAATAAGGTAAACATACAATATTAAAAATAAGATGGCAAATAACAATAAGAAAGCGAACAACGAGCCATAATAATAAAAAGCAGAGAAATAACAAGGTGAACAACAAACAATAAGAAAAAGATGAGCAACAAAATTAACAAGAAGGCAACCAACAAACAATAATAAGGCAGCAAACAACAAACAAACAGGCAAAAAAACAATAAGAATAAGAATTTGAAGAAAAAAATAAAATAAGATGAACAACGAACAATTACAATAAGAATAAGCGAAACAACAAAGAGAATAAGGCGTACAAGAACAAATAATAAGAACAACAACAAACTATAATAAGAATAAGAAGGCAAATAAACAATGTTAACTAGGCGAACAAATACATAAGGCTAACAACAAATAGGAATAATATGGCAAACAAACAAGGCAAACAATTAACAAATAAGGCTACAAACTTTACATGCAAAACATATTTACATGTAAAGTTATATAATTTTGGCTTTGTCCCAGCTAGTACCATCCATCCAGATTGAAAATCTGATTATGGTTGGAAAATGCAATTCAATACAAGTCCTGTCTTGGGTGGATTTTATTATTTTGGAAAAAAATTACATATTCTATACTAAAAATGAGCGTTCATAACACTGGTGATGGAAATGCTGTGGGTGTGTGGACATAACTCACATTATTTTTATTCTATTCTTATATTCTTTTGAAAACAAGTATCTTTTCATGCCCATTTTTTGTTTGTACCATGGTATGATGAAAAAATTAATCGAAGATTGAGATAATACAGAAAGACAAGCTTTAGATCTAGAGAAATTAGCTTTTTACATCAAGAAATATAAAAGGGGGAGAGGGGGAGAGGGGGAGAGGGTCCATGAAGTTTAGAATTCCTAGGTAGAAAAATATGGACTTCATTCATGGAGACGGTGAGAAGAGTCACACCGAACTTCAACCACAACAGCCCTAACAACACTAATGAAAGTCTACAAACGCCTGATATATTCAAGGATGGTTTCTAAAAAATAATATAAACCTTTTATATCAAGTGAAATTGTAATTTTTTGGCAGGAGCGAGCGAAAAGTGCCAATATCAAAACTAGGTATGCAGGTAATTAGTACCCGTACACCTGTGTGGACTAAATTATTGCAATTTTGCATACAACATTTGATAATGACATTGTGCATGGATACAAGCTCATGAATGTCCAAAGAACTTTTATAACTAGCAGAAAAATAGTGATTTATGGTATACCGAGATTTAAAAAAAAATAAAAATAATAAGTTTTGCACATTTTCACATGAAATATGCTTTACATTTTATTAATTTGTGAACTTATGAAGGGATAAGTTTGTGCAACGAGTACGAAGCATTAATATTAAAAAATAAATGTATAAATCAAAATTTCAGTCTGACTTCGCTCTAACCAACATTAGTCCACCCTTAGCAAATTTGATTTGAAATTGGTTATTACTGCTATAAAAAAAAGCACTTCAATATGAAGGGTACCCCCTAACCTGGTTTTTTTTTTTTTTTTTTTTTTTTTTTTTTTTTACTTCAAAATTATAAGATATTTTTGTAAGATGGTAGTAAAATGATGCCTGCTCTAAAATAAAAAAATATATGTTCTTTTATACATCTAGTGCATCCTTTTCATCTATTCTGAAAGATTTAATGTGCAGACTTACCATAGGCCATAGATACCATAATTAAACGAATATCCAACCACATCAAGGCGTTCTGTGATATTTATGCATTTCTTAGCAAATATAATGCAAGCAAATAATATCAACTACTTAGTTTCCATTACAATGGTTGTTTTTAATAAACATCATTAAAGAAAACTTTGATCATGAAAATTTAACAACTTTGGTAATTCTCAAATTCAATGCATTTCACACACATGCTATTTTCTCTCAAAACTGAACCATTTTGTATTCATGCTAGGACTATAACTGGAATGATTTTGTACTGATATTACCATCTACAGTTTTCCATTTCTTCACAATCCCCCCCACCCCAATCTGAATATTTAGTTTCTTGTTTAGAATGTGCATGATTTAATGCATTTATTGAACATTTCAGTCATGAATATCGACTTTTACATGGGGGGGAACACATCATATCATCCCAATTGAAAACTAACTCCAACTGACTTGGTAACATTCTGATCATAAAGTACACTAAATGAGGATAATTTTTTATGCAACATTAAATCTAAAGAAAACTAAAGTAGATATTGAACTTTGGCAAATGTCTAGCTTTCATAATTCTCTCAAACTCGCCATGTTGCTTTCACTTAAGCATAAGAATCCGCAGGGCTAGTCGAAACCCGATTTTTTTTTGTCCCAAATAGAACTACTGTATGTACATTACATAAAACTGAAAATTGCCACAAAAAGTGGTCACGCAACCAGTCCTCAAAATAAATCAAATGATAATAAAAAAACAGGACTATTTACCCAGCATATATATGATATATCTAATGCTAAAATGTTTTCTAGTTAATTCAGGTAAAAAAAAAATCTGTTTTAGGGGGTTGCTGCCCCCTCCACCCCTAAGGGTTAGCAGGGTTAAAATAAACATACGAGACGAAGTGCAATTACATACTCTAACATTGTGGAAAAAATATATATATAGTTCTCTATTATTTTTTTTTTTTTATGAAAAGAGTGGAGCAAGGTAAGCATTTCCTAGGACGGTCCCCTTCATCTAATAAAATATATATATATTGGAGTAATTAACAAATCTTACAAGTTAATTTTGCGTGTTTGCCTACATTTAAATCTCCTCGGAAATCATGACCACCTAGTGATCAGCTCCACCACCCTCCCCTGGGTGGAGCATGGGAAATATTCAACGGCTTCAGTAACTCTTGCACACCACTTATTCAAAATTATCTGCATGTTCAATTCATGCTTTAAGAATACTGTACTAATACTACCATTTCTTCATAAAAGATTTAATTTTTTTTGGATATCATAGTTTGCTAAAGTTTTCTTTACAATTTACTATATTAAGCATTTCAAAAGAATATCTACTTTTATTTGAAAAGAATGAAAGGTACCTTAACAAAATATGTTACCTATTGAACACCATAACTGAATCATCAAAGTACACTCGAGGATTTTCTATATCATTCTATTTAGTGAACAAAGATAATGAACTTTAAGTGTACAAATTTTCCAACACCCTAGTCTCAATTCTTTGCTTACATAATGTGTGGTACTGTCTAGCATTTAAAAGTTTTGTGCACCTTAATATCAGTCACTTGCATTACCAATGGCATTGGAATGTGAAAGGCATGTCGAACCCCTTTTTTTTTCTTTACATTATGTACATCAGAAAAATGGCCTAAAAATGTTTCATGATGACAGAAGGTCCCCCCCTCCTCCCCTAAAAAATTCTAATTAACCCTAGCCACATTTGCATAAAGCTGGCATTGACATCAGTAATCTATAAACCAATAAAAAAATATTAAAGAGAATCTTGACTTCATGTAACTAATAAAGTATCTTTGTCATAAAAGAATTGCACTGTCAATTACTTTTGCTCACAGAATTTTTTTTTTATTAAAAATAAAGCTATGATAATAGTGGCAACTCATACACTTGGATACCTACAAGAGGGTCTGTCAGTGCTGACGGAGCACTTGCACAGCCTGAATTTATACTTAGAGATAATGACGACTTGTGACCGAACTCGTGTATTATTACTGAACCCTAAACAGATTTATATTTAAATAATAGCACCATATACCTATTACATTTTATCATTTTAAGCTTGTTACTTAATTCTTTTTTTCATATAAATCTTTCAGTTTGGGAGGAAAGGATTACAAAATGCTTATCATACCAGTGATCCATCACAATACATACTATCAAAATACATGTAATGAGCTTCGTTACGCCCGAGAGCCAAAAGGTGAAAATCAGACAATGAAAGGGTAGCTTCGGATTCTTAAATTTGTACGAATCTAAAAATTGGGATTAACTAATTCAGCGAAGCCCCCACTTCCCAGTGATGGTCCCCACAATTAAAACATGCTAAAGTTGGTCAATGGCCTAAAGCAGGTAAATGGTATGCTAAAAAAAAATAAACGCTATACACATGGCATGGTATAAGAGTTTGAGGACTCCAGTCCTCAATACAAAATGTGGTAGAGAAAGAACAAGATCTAACTCAAAATGTCCATCCAAGTTTAACTCCTGGCAGAAAAGAGACAGGTGGTCCAAGTATGGGCCTACCATAAGCTACAGGTGAGCCTCATGCTATAATTTATAAAACCAAATAATGTATTCACCTTCCTTACATTTCTTCCCATCCAACCCTTCTTGCTCTTCAATGGAATTTTCTCTAATAAACAGTACTTAAACTGCCAAATGATTTCAGAAAAAAAAAATTTTTAGGACTTACCAAATTCAGAAGAACTACTCCAATGTCCCCTCACATGGGCATCTGCACGCATTCAGCTGATCTGCAAAACCAAAAGTATATTATAATTAGGTTTAAAATTCATAATCAAAAATATTCATCCAATGATGTCATGTTCTAATTCCATATATTGCATAGACAGCCATTCTTAAAAATGTTTTTCATTTATCTATCTATTCAATCATGGTTATAAGATTAACAACTACTGATAACAAAAAGTTCATGTTCTACTTCCCTACTTCTGAGTATTCTAAATGCAATCATATTTACCTGTAGAAATCCATACAAGTCATCCAGCTCTTATCCAGCCCCTGACGCAGCTTTCAGCTTGTGGAAAACTTCCTGGTCCTCCAGCCCTGCCAATGTGTCGTTTTCAAAGTTCTTGCCAGCTCTTCTGAAAATCAGAACCAAAAATCATTAGTCCCATGTTAGCCTACATGATATGTCTGCATTTGAAATTCATTACTCGGTCCTTTGATAAAAGGACTCCTTTTATGTTATACACGTTTGCCAACATTACTGCAGATTACAATATTTACCTGCAAATAGAAAAGAGGACTCCTTCAAATTGCTATACCGCCTAGAGCCCTTCTGTGGCCTTGAAGTCGAGACAACCCTTTCCACATCCAAACCTGCAGTTAGAATGTCAATGAATACCAAAACACTGACCCATCTTGGTATCTCATTTGCATAGTTCCTATTTATTCATCTATTCCTGTTACAACATAAAATGTTATTGAAAAACCTTGCTAGGATTTAAAAACAAACCTGAAATTCTGATGGCCAGGTCGGAACTGCTAGGAGACGTAGGCTGCACTGGACCACTACACCACGATTCAAACACCTGTAGGAAATTGGTCCCATATAACCTGATTTTTTATGCACAAATACATACTACAAACAACCATTTCTTTACAAAATTTAAGAATTGCAAAATAGCCTATTTATCATGGTTACATCAACTTCCAAAATTACCAGATTTACTGATAACAAAGAGTTCATGTTCTACTTCCCTAATCTTTAGCAATTTTAAATGTAATTATATTTACCTGTAATCTGTAAAAGCCATCCTGTTCTTATCCAGCCCCTGATGCAGCTTTCAGCTAAAGCTCTCTCTCTCCAGCCCTGCCACTGTCATGCTTTCACAGGTCTTGCCAGCTTTCTGAAAATCTGAACCAGACATCATTAGTCCCATTTTAGCCTCTGATATATCTGCATTTGAAATTCATTTTCTTTTATATATTAGAAGGTTTTTAAACCTGTTACTGAAGGTTAATACTAACCTGGAAATAGAAAACAGACTTCTTCAAACTGCTATACCGCCTAGAGCCCTTCTGTGGCCTTGAAGTCGAGACAACCCTTTCCACATCCAAACCTGCAGTTAGAATGTCAATGAATACCAAAATACTGACCCATCTTGGTATCTCATTTGCATTGTTTATATTTTTTCTTTATCTATTCTGTTTACAACAATATGTTATCAAAAAAACATGCTAGACATGTACTTTAGCAATTTTCAACTTTCAAAAACAAACCTGAAATTCTGATGGCCAGGTCTGAACAGCTAGGAGACATAGGCTGAACTGGACCGCTACTCCAGGATTCAAACACTGCCTGGAGGAAATTGTTACATATAATAGAATTTTTTCAATCCACTACAATGT